CAATCTCTAGTAAATTTTTTTTTTTCTTTTAAGTAATTGGGATAATTGGCTTCAGTCTGAGATAAACAAACAACAAAGCAAATCCTTTAACCTCCTGTTYGGGGCTGTAAAAGGGCCTGCATTTCTATTTCCCCGGTGCTTTTTATGACCTAAGGGCTGGCCTCTCTTTGCCACTGGACTGGGGCCAGCACAAAGCCAGGCTAATCACAGAGCAGTTTCGGAAATGAGGGTCTTGAATGGAATTTCCTCAACACGCCCTCCCCAGTCTGCAGCCTCCTCACTGAGCTTCCCCTTCTGGAAGGCTCCGGGCCCAGCTCTGGACAGGGCAGGAGAACAAAGGACTGTTTCTCCCAGTGTCCCTGGAGCCCACGGAGCCTGGCCTTGTACGAAATTCAATAAAAGCAACTCTTAGGCTGCGTTCCCTGTCCTGGGGTTGTCAGAAGAAAATAAATCAAGGGCTGTATATTTATGGGGAGTTTACAATGTGTAAATCTCTGTGGGGGGAATAAAAAATTGTATGTTGTGGACAGAAGCCTTGCCCTCAAAGAGCGTAATGTTAGGTTGGAATGTTCGGACGAGTCACAGCAAGAGGGGAAAGTCAGTCATGGAAATCATTACTTGTGGCAGCAAAGCAATCTTTTTTTTTTTTTTTYCCCCAGTACTGGGGAGGAACCCAGGGGTGCTCTATCACTGAGCTACATTCCCACCCCACCCCTGCCCCTGCTCCTTTTTTTAAATTTTGAGACAGGGTGTTGCTGTTGCTAAGTTGTGRAGGCTGGCCTTGAACTTGCGATCCTCCTGCCTCAGCCTCCTGAGTCACTGGGTTTCCAGGCACGTTTCCACCCCTGGCTCAAGCATTCTTTTGGCAAATAAAAGCTCTCGGCTCTGAGTTCAGTCGATGTGAAATACATGTTGGATCAGCCAAGATTGGGGATGACAAAAGCCCTCCATGGCAGCTTGTCTTCAAAGGGGCTGCCATCAATTCTTGCCTTCCTCTGTACTCATGCCCCTCGCTCTGGGAGGCTGGGAGACTATTTCCCGTCTCCTCTAAGTCTGGACTGGCCTCTGACCACCTTGACAGACAGCGCATGATGGGAGAGAAGCTTGACGGGCACAGGCCTCACCTTTAAGAGGGTGGCAACTCTGCTTCTCGTTTCTTAGAGCCCAGCTGTGGAGAGTCCCAGGGGTGGACGACCGAGGCTTCAGGACCATGGCCCCAGCTGGGCAACCGGCCCCTGCACTGACTTTCCAGCTCTGTGAGCAAGCCATCTGGAGGGCATCCTCCATCCCCCTCAACCCTCCTCTGACTGTGGGGAGCAGGGATGAGCTGTCCCTGCCAAGCTGGGCCCCAGGGGTAAATGGTAGGCAAATCASGGACAGTTGCTGCATCTCTGCATCTGCCTTGTCCTCACAGCAAGTCTGTGAGGAAGGCTTTATCAGCATTATCCCCATTTTGTAGACGAGGAGATGAGGCCCAAGAGGTTAAGTTACTGATCCAAGATCACACGGGTCCTAACGGAAGATACAGGATGTGTCCTGGGGTTGGGGCATGGACCAATTTGGCTGGAGTTAGGAACATTAATTAGGAAGTTGCATGGTATAAAACAGGAAGATGGATGGGCTGGGATAAGATTAAGGGGGACCCACCTGCTAGGATAAGAAAGTGGCACTTCATTCAGTAATGGCCATTTGGAAGTGGTGAGTGATGGCTTTTGAGCAGAAGTGATGGGCTAAAAAGAACTTAAAAAGAGGCTGGATAGAGGGTCCTCTGCAGGGACAAGAGGCTGTAAGCAGCTGGCCCAGCAGAGACCCAGAGTCGGTAGGTGGGAAGTGACRGGGCCTGGGGTGGCAGAAGTGGGAACAGAAAGAGACACAGGGCAAGACTTAAAAACAACAAACAAACAAGCAAACGACAACAAGGAAAGCCCAGCGGGAGGGAGGTTCTGACCAGCAATTTAAAAGGACTTGGACCTGGGCGTCCCCGAGGAGCATGGGTGAAACCTCTCATGAAATTGGAAAGGCAGGAAGGAAAGCCAGCTTGCAGAGGTTTGTGTACTCAACAGTTTTTTCTTTTTCTTTGTGTGGATTGGAACAGAATCGAGGACATGTTAAGACCCAGGAGCTGACAAGGAGTGAGGGCTTGGAAGTCACAGCCTGGCCCCAGGCAGCTTGCAGTCCTGAGTTCCCTCTTGTATGTACAATAGTGCGCGCACACACACACACACACACACACACACACACACACACACACACAGAGGAATGGGTGCCACACTCATGTGTCCAAACCAGAGAGCAAGTGAAAGGAGTACGTAATGAACAAGAATAAAATGAATGAACTGCCTAAATGTCTGGTACTGAGCATCCGCGCTGTGGTGAGCTGGGAGAGACCAGTCGGCCCTGCAGCACCCAGAGGGGTTAGAGAAGAATCTGACTGTAGAAAGGGAAGATCAACACAGGCGTCACACACTCYTTGAAACGTGATGTTCAGTGACCACCGAGTATCCTACCGCTCAAGTAACTACGATTTATGAAACTGATCCTCTAGTTTATGTTCTTCAACATGGATGAGGAAGACGATTTTGGCTATTATAGGTAATGCCAGAATGAAGGTCTCTGTAAATGATTTTTTTGGTGTACATCTGCTCATTCTTGAAGACAGGTTCCTAGCAATGGAATTAGTGAACTGAAGGGTAAAACATTTAAAGTATTCTTGATACTCATTGTCAAATTGTATGCTTAAAAAAAAAATCACCAGTTCGCACTTTCCCCCCCCCCCCGCTGTGGATAAGGGGCCGATCTCACATTAGTCTACAAAGAAAGTCAGTAGAGGCCTTAGAGCTGGGTTTGCTGAATTATCTGTTTTGCACATTAAATCCATGAAGTTAGGTGTAAAGAAATGCTAGTGTTGCCGGCCCCAGGGGTCTGATTTTCTTCTGCACACATTTTTATAACTTTCTAAATGGTGTGCATACTGCCCACAGTTTCTTTCTCTTTCTCTTATTGGGAATTGAACCCGGGGCCTATAACCACTGAGCTACATGCCCGGTTTTGTTTTGTTTTTCATTAACGTCAGCTTCCCCTGAGCGGAAGGAAAGCCTGAGTGCCTGGATGAAGACTTCCGCAGGGAGCTGGGGGACAGTGGAGGGTGGTGACCGGCCTCCCCGTGGACCTTGGCAGGGCCTCAGCTGCAGGTAGAGGTGGTCTGATTCTCATCCATCACCGTCCACAGACAAAGAGTCACAATGAGGGAAAATCACAGCTCTCAGGGGAGGGAGGCCCGGTCCTCCTGGATTCCAAGTGCTGCTGGGAGAGATCAGGATGGCCAAGCCGGACAGAYGCTGTCGGCTTTGCTGTCCTGCCCTCTGTAGGGGAGTAAAGCTGGTGGCCTCCCAGTTGCGGGGTTTGTGGTTGAGGAGAGGGACGCCGAGATGGGGCTGGAGGGATGGTGGAATTAGGCCTTGGCCCCTGCTTCCTCGGGACCAATGGGGAGCTGCCAGCTCTGAGCGGCCGGTGCCCAGCCTCCCCTGAAGCTGGGAGATTAGGGCAATTTAATCCTTTGCTCTCTCCCTTGGCTATTTCTGTAGAGAAGGGGGCTGGGCAGGCTGTGCGCTGGTTCCCCCAGCAACAGGCCCTGGCCTGGCTCCATTGTGAGGAGGCCCCACTGGGAAAAGCAGGGGCAGGAAGGGAGGAGATGGCTTTTCCAGGGCCTTCCCTTCTCAGAGGTGGTGGCTGTCAACACCCTGGAGCCCTGGTTCCAGAGGGGGAGGAGGAGCTTTGGGGACCTCCGCCCCTCCCTGGGAAGGGAAGGCCAGAGAGGGGCCTTGTGGGCATGAGTGAGCTCATTGTTTACACGTGGAAAGCGGCTGCCTTCTCGGGAGGAGGACCAGGGCAGCCCTTCCATTTGATGGAGCTTGGAGGAGGCCACCAGGCCCTGACAGCCCTGATCCAGCGCGGTGGCCCTCCCTACAGCCTTCTTAGCCTTTCTGTTTGCAAAGCCTCTTAGAGGCCCGCACCTCCCCGGGCGCTGTCTTTACCTGGCTGAGGTGCTCTCCCCATCCCTCCTTCTCTTGCTCATCCCTCCCAGCTTCCCCACCCCCCCAGATCCCCCTCCCATCCCCCAAATGAACAGAAATCGCCGTCCTCTTTCCTAAAGAAAGTTCTCATGGCCAGGAAAGGGTCGACGGGTTGGCTAAGAGGCCAGCCACCCGTGTTGTGCACGGAGGCCAGCGTTGGTCTTCCTGACGCCTGGGTCTTGGAAGACCTGAGCTTCCAGGTCTAAAGCAGAGTCTCTGTCAAGGCCATTTTCTGACCACACCCAGTGAGAAAGAYGTTAGTGTCTTTCACAAACGTGACTTAATTAAGTTCCTTAAAAAGAAAACCAGTGTCTTCTGGAGGGACACATSGCTGTTTTCAGTAATTCCCACGATGCCACTTCCTCGGGGAGTGTTGGTTTAGCCTGGAATATGTCCTGATATTCCATGTCACACTGAGGAAACTCCCACCTCCTCCGAGGCCTTCTCTGCCTCATCTGCTTCATTAAAACACCCGGCCTCTGGGTCCGGGGCTGGGGCTCAGTGGTCAAGTGCTTGCCTGGCATGTGTGAGGCACTGGGTTCGAGCCTCAGCACCAAATAAGAATAAATAAAGATACTGTGTTTTCACCTACAAATAAGTAAATATTAAAAAAMACAAACACCAGGCTTCTTTCTCACACAGGGAAAGTGCACTCCATGCTCCTTGGACTTCATTTTCTACTTCTGTAAAAGAGGATCTGTTGTGAGGATTAAGGTAAATTATCTGTGCTGGGCTGGGGTTGTCGCTCAGAGAGCATGTGCTTAGCATGTGTGAGACTCTGAGTTCAATCACTAGCAACAATGGTGACAATGATAATAATAAGAAGAATGATGATAATAACTTACGTATGTTGAGCACTGACCACAGTGCCTGCTGCACAGTAAGCAAYGTTAATATTGTCCTTGACCTTTTTCTTTTGTGAATATGCCTATATTATCTCATGTTACCAAGACTCACGATAAAATAGTGTATTATCAAGAATCACAATCAGTGCACAAGGATTGTCCACCTCGATCTGCAGACAGAGGGCTGGAAGCACAGGCAGGGTCAGTAATCTGCCCAGGGTCATCCAGCCAGGTAGAGAGTGGAGTCTGGATTTGAACTCCAAGCGCTCATCAGCGCCAACAACAGCCCTTTCCAGAGCACCACCGGCCTCTCGGGCAACGTGACAGTGTTATAAATGGTTCKCCTGCCCTGAGTCCCCAGGGGTTGGTCCTGTGGAGACAAGTCCATTATGTCAATGCGTCTGAAAACTGCTGGAGGCAGCCCTTCAGAGCGTGGCTTTTAATGCCTATTAAGCAGGTGGAGAGAGAACAGATCAATGAAGGGTGATGTTCTGCAGCTCCCACTAGGGCGTGCAGTCCTGTCCACACCGCCTGGTTCTCAGGCACAACTGAATGCCCAGGCCTTTGAGGAGATGGGTTTTAGGCAAGGACAGAGGAGGTGGGTTTTCCCACAGAGTGATCTCGGGGGCAGAGGAAGGTTCCTCTGGGTGCCAGTGTCTAACAGGAACAGTGTCTGAAGCCCCAGGTTCAGGACTCTTCTTCGGGTCTCAGCTCTGTTCAGAATCCTCTTTTCAAATGCATTTGCTTTCACAAGAAGCAAGAGTGATGAGCCATCTTCCCAGACTGCAGCAGAGTACCACGAAGCTGGGGCTGCGGGCGGAGGATAGGGAGGTGGCTCCTGGAAAACACAGACAAGGGGAGACTGGGTTCCGAGGACCGTGCTCCTTCCCTCCGTGTCCCGGAAAACAGACCTGACTTGTTTCTCGGTTTCTGCTGGATTTTCTTGCTCCTTTCTGCTAATTTCTGACCAGGGATGGAGAAGAGGAATGACAGCCAGGGGAGGGGCAGAGGTAAGGATGAGAGGTGGGGGGGGACAGGAGGGAAGCTGCCCCAGTCCCAATGAACGTGTGAGCACAGGCCACATGGACACCACAGGCCAGATACAGCAGACATCTGACACACCTCACACCCACACACACACACACACGTCACACCAGTCATATCACACACACACACACACACGTCACACCAGTCATATCACACACACACACACACACACAC